GGATTTATTCTGTTTTGTCAGAGTAATTGCCCGTGACTTACTAAAAATTTGCAATTTTCAAATTAAATTGTCCCACATGTAGCTAAAAAAGTTTTTTACCAAAAGTCATGAAACTTTACAGGAATGTTGTTCAGCATGGAAAGTTGTGCACGTGGGTTTCACTTGTGGATTTTTTTCTGTTTTGTAAGAGTTTTTGCCCTTGACTTTAAATTCAGGCTGTCCAGCGTCCCTAAAATTCCTAGAAAAATCCTAATTTTTTTCAGTTTGGCTAAAATTCCTAAAAAAATGAAAAATTCAAAGGGACTTCCTAAAAATGCCCTATTTTTTTATCTTTTGTGATAAACATATCCCGAAACAACCATGTTTCAATCACAACCTAAATTTGAACACAGTCAGTGGAGCTGATGTCATGTCTGACTAAATTGCATAATGTCACATGTTGTTTTTACTTCAACTCCTGCAGAAATGCTATACAGTGGAGCCTTGCTAATCTGAACCCTTCTAATCCGGAATCCTTTCTTATCCGAACGAAGTGTCCGGTCCTGATTTTATTCATTCTATTTTCAATAGTGAAAAACCTTTTGGATCCGGAACCTGTCTACTCCGAATTCCGGACAATTTTTTCAATTTTTGTTCTTATTTTACTCTAAAATTAACCTCTGGGATCCGAACAGATTTTGCAAAATGTCACACCTACATTCAAAATAACAGAAAACCGCACATCTTGCAGCTGTAAACAACACCAAATTGTTAAGAGTAATTTTGCTTGATTAATGGGTGAAACGTATAATCTGCGACGGTGTGAAAATTACACTTAGTTTGCCTTGAGATCTACTATAATTGCTTTATTGATTGTTTATTGTCACCTTCAATAAAAATTTGTATATAATGCAATAGAAATATGTTTTTATCTTCTGTTATGGATTTAATGACATGTGATTAAGTAATGAAAATTGATGGAAATGTCAGTGAATTCGGATAATCACTGAATCGGATAAGAGTTAACAACAATTGACAAATGCTGGTATGAATATTTAATCATGTTTCAGCCTTCTGTTTAACATCGTAGATTAACTTACCCTTGGAGATATAACATTTTTGCCTATTTATTTATTTTTATTTATCTATTTATTTCTGTATTCACATGTATTAAAATGAACGATAAGAGTTTGCAAAAATAAATATTTTTATTGCAATTTCAAATGCATTTCCGTTTTCTTTCCTTTAACTATTCTGCCAATAACATGAACACACATGTAAAAAACTTTCTAATCCTGAAACCTTTCTAATCCGGAAACCTTTCTAATCCGAACTTTTCTTCTGGTCCGGACGAGTTCGGATTAGACAGGTTCCACTGTACTTGATTGTCAGATGTTATCAGAAAAATTATAAGAAACTGTTTGTTTTAAATGAAACAATGAAAATTGTACGGCTTTGACTATATCAAAATAGTCACCTGTTTAAAATTGTGATAATTTTTTTTTTTCAAGGAAATACATTTTTATTGGCTACAGAGTTTTACCATTTGCCTCAGTCTTAGGTGTATTTACATGATGTACCACTAAATTTCATCAGACTTTATGTAGGGGTCCTTATTAAGAAAATTTTAATTTGTAATCAAGTTATTTTCAAGTGATGATTGTAGAACAGATCTTTTGTAAGTGATACCAGCTGGCAGATCTAGACAAGTTTCCATATTTGCTAATTATAAAGTGGGTATAAAGGTAAACTGGCAGTAATGATTGGATGCTTTAACCATTTTGCTACCCAATTAGCGTACTAAGAAGTGACACCTTCAGCTGCTCTTTTTGTACACATTAACATGTACTGAACATATGTTATAACATATAGTGTAAGTTTTTTAAAATCTGAAGAAAAAAAAACTTTTGAAAATCATTGAAAAAAACTGACACTGTTGTGAATTTTTCTACAATTTTAGTAGCCTGATTTATCTTGAACAAATTCTTTATAGGTGTTTTGTAACCCTGCTGTTCGAATTTAAGTTTAAATATTCCTGGGAATGACCTGAGCTGGTCATATCGTTTTTATTGTATTTTAAGAAAGATCAAGACTTGTTGAAAATGCACCAACCTTAAAATGAATAAATGTTGATAAGAAATAGCTAAAATAAATGTAAAGCATAATTTCCCCTTCCATTTATTATTGGCTAATCATAGTTTACCTAATTGAATATTGGTTGTTCAGGGATACTTATAACTTTGAAAATGTTTTCATTCTAGTTATGTTTTAATGTAGTTTTTCAGCTCTTTTTAAAGGCAGTTGACCAGTGAATCCATTTAACACCTTTGCTATAACTGAACTAGAGCATTATTTGTGAGTTACTTTTGTGTCAAATATGCAAAGTTGTGCCCATATCATGGTCTTTTGAGGTCATAATTTAGTTATAAAATTCCAAATTTTAGCCCTAAAATTTCTTTTATTTACCCTAAAATTCCTAATTTTAGCCCTAAAATTTCTTAAAAATTGCCCTAAAATTTGCCCTAATTTTTTGTCAGAAGGTGCTGGACAGCCCGGACTAAGTGAAAATTTGCAATTTTCAATTTGTGTTGTGTGTAGCTCAAAAAGTATTTAACCTAGAGTCATGAAACTTAAGAGGAATGTTGGTCAGCATGTGCAGTTGTGCACCTGGGGTTTGTCTTGTGTATTTATGTAGTATTTCTAGAGTAACTGCCCTTGACTTAATAAAAGATTATTATTATGCCACCGCAGCATCTGCGATGCAGTCCAGGCATATAGCGATTCACCTGTGTGTTTGTGTGTGTGTTCTAAAGATTATATAGTGAACTTAAAAAATCTTCTTGTGAAAAACCACTAGTCCAATTTCAACCAAACCAGGATTGATCCTTGGGTGAATGGCTTCCAAAGTTGCTCAAAGAAGAAATCTGGTTGCCATGGCAACCAAAAGGAATTATAAGAATAAATTTAAAAAATCTTCTTGTAAAGACCCAAAAGGCCTAGGGCTTAGATATTTTGCATAAGGCATTGTCTGGTAGGCCCTTACCAAGATTGTTTAAATTATAGCCCTAGGGTCAAAATCGGCTCCGTCCCGGGAGTCATTGATTTTCACTATATGTACATATAGTAAAAACTTAAAATACCTTCTTATAAAGACCCAAAAGGCCTAGAGCTTAGATATTTTGCACAAGGCATTTTCTGGTAGACCTCTACCCAGATTGTTCAAATTATAGCCCTGGGGTCAAAATCGTCCCCGCCATGTGGGTCATTGGTTTTCCTTTTATGTATATAGTAAAAACTTTTAGTAAAAACTTTAAAAAAATTTCTTCTAGCAATTGACTAATGCTAGAGGTTAGATATTTTGCTTGAAACATTGTGTAGTGAACCTCTAGCAAGATTGTTCAAATTATAGCCCTGGGGTCAAAATTGCCCCCGCCCCGGGGGTCATTGATTTTCAATATATACATATAGTAAAAAAATAAAAAAAATCTTATTGTCTAAAGGTACAAGGCTTAGAGCTTTAATATTTGTTAAATAATATCATCTATAGGTACTCTACCAAAGTTGTTCAAATTTTGCCTCTAGTGTCAAAATTAGCCCCGCCCCGGGGGTCATAGGTTATCCTTATATGTATATAGTAAAAACTAAAAAAAATCATCTTCTCTAAATGTACAAAGGCTAGAGTTAAGATATTTTGCCTGAAACATTGTGTAGTGAACCTCTAGCAAGATTGTACAAATTATAGCCCTGGGGTCAATATTGGCTCCACCCCCAGGTGTCATTGATTTTCACTATGTACATATAGTAAAAAATTAAAAAACCTTCTTGTCTGAAGGTACAAGGCTTAGAGCTTTGATATTTGGTATATAATATCATCTATGGGTCCTCTACTTAAGTTGTTTTAATTATGCCCCTAGTGTTAAAATTGCCCTGCCCCAGAGGGGATAGTTTTCCTTATATGTATAAAGTAAAAACTTAAAAAAATCTTCTTCTCTGAATTGACAAAGGCAAGAGGTTAAATATATGGCATGAGACTTTGCAAAGTGAACCTCTACCAAGATTGTTCAAATTATAGCCCTGGGGTCAAAATTGGTTCCGCCCGTGGGTCATTGATTTTCATTATGTACATATAGTAAAAGAATAAAAAATAGTTTTGTCTGAAGGTACAAGGCATAGAGCTTTGATGTTTGCTATATAATATCATCTATAGGTCCTCTACCAAAGTTCAAATTTTTCCCCTGGTGTCAAAATTGGCCCTGCCGGGGGCAGTGATTCTCATTATGTACACATAGTAAGAACAGAAAATAAAACAAATGTTTTCTAAATGGAAGAAAGCTACAGCTTAGATATTTGACTTGAAATGTTGTTTGGTGGACCTGTATCAAGATTATTTTGATTTAAACCCTTGGGTCAAAAGTTTGCCTTGCCCAAGGGGACAGTGACCTACTTTCTTGTCCTTTGATGTACAGCAATGAAATTTTAACCATGTGCACAGTTTGAGTTGTAAAATTGAACTTTGATATCAGCTGACCTAGATTTTGATGATGTGACCTACTTTCTTGTCCTTTGATGTACAGCTATGAAATTTGAACCATGTGCACAAATCAGATATAAAGTGAACTTTGATATTAGCTGATCTATATTTTGACAAAGTGTCTTACTGTGTTGTCTTTGATGTAGTCATGAAATTTAGGCAGTGTGAAATATGACCTTAATTCGCCACCAAATTCACTAGACTCAACTGCATTGATATATTCCTATTCTGATCTTCTATTTTTGTTTGCTGTTAAATTAGTGAGCTGCTTTCACTTTGTTGTCATACTTTGGACACAATCAATAAGATGAAAACTTTACATGTAAATTCCCAATCTTGAGCAAAACTGTCTGCATAAAGTTTTAATTCAGTTTTCAGTTATTTTTTTTAAAAGCACAGAAAACATGTTTGTATCATCACAGAAAAACTTTCTTTTAAAAGCATGAGGTGAACATGTCTGTATATGTGTGTGAATATTTCTATTTTTCAGTAATTGTGGATTTGTTGTTAATCAGCCATTTTGTTCCATGTGTGAATGCAAGTATGAAAACAGAAATACAACTACAATAAAGGTAAGACATTACCATTTTAAATTACAGCCAAAAGGCGGCGGGGGATATAGAAATAGTCTCCGTCCGTCTGTCCTTCAGTCCATCCATACATCCGTCCTTCCGTCCGACATTTTTGTCGGAAGCATATCTATAAAAGTATTTGAGGTATCAACTTGAAACTTTAAAGGTGGATAGATTGTATTGAGGAGTCCAGTGCACAAGAATGATAACTCTACCCTGCATAATTTTTCAGTTATTGCCCTTTGTTATTTTTCAAACTTAATTGTTGTCCAGAGCATATCTCAAAAAGCCTTTAAGATATCAACATGAAACTTCATAGGTTTATAGATTTCACTCAGGAGGTGTGCAGTGTACAAGAGTGATAACTCTACTCTTCATAATTTTTGATTTATTGACCTTTGTTATTTTTTCATACATAATTTTTCACCTGAGTGGAGCATAACTCAAAAAGTCTTTGAGATGTCAACATGAAACTCCATATGTGGATAGATCTTATAGTAATGCTGTGCACAAGAATGATAACTCTACCTTTATAACTTTTTAGTTATTGCCCTTTGTTATTTTTCCTACTTTTGGTCCAGAGCTTATCTCAAAAAGTGTTAGAGGTATCAACTTGAAACTTCATAGGGGGATAGATCTCATTTAGGAGGAGTGCAGCACACAAGAATGATAACTATACCCTTCATTAGTTTTCAGTTATTGCCCTTTGATATTTTTCAAACTTAATTTTTGTCCAGAGCATAACAGCATGAAACTTCATAGGTTGATAGATCTCTCTCAGGAGGTGAGTGATAACTCTACTCTTCATAATTGTTGAGTTATTGCCCTTTGTTATTTTTATGCCCCCTTTCGAAGAAGAGGGGGTATATTGTTTTGCTACTGTCAGTCGGTCGGTCGGTCGGTCTGTCTGTCGGTAGACCACATTGTTTCTGCTGATTATCTTGAAAACTATTTATCACAAAGTCTTCATATTTCACATAGTGATTGGTCATAACTAGTAGATGACCCCTAATCATTTTGGGGTCACTAGGTCAAAGGTCAAGGTCACAGGTGTCTTAAATGTCAGAATTGTTTCTGCTGATTATCTTGAAATCTATGCATCACAAAGTCTTCATATTTCACATAGTGATTGGTCGTAACTAGTAGATGACCCCTATTGATTTTGGGGTCACTAGGTTAAAGGACAAGGTCACAGGGGCCTGAAATGTCAGAATGGTTTCCTCTGATTATCTTGAAAAGTATTGATCACAAAGTCTTCATGTTTCATATATTGATTGGACATAACTAGTAGATGACCCCTATTGATTTTGGGGTCACTTGGTCAAAGGTCAAGGTCACAGGGGCCTTGAATTGTGGTTTGAATTCAACTTATTATCTTGGTTACTGTTTATCACAAAGTCTTCATATTTCTCATATTGATTGGTCATAACTAGTAAATGACCCCTATTGATTTTAGGGTCAAATGTCAAGGTCATAAATGGGCCATAAATGTTTGAATGCTTTCCACTCACTATCTAGGTTATTATTTATCACAAAGTCTTCATATTTCACATATTGATTGTTCATAACTAGTAGATAACCCCTATTGATTTTGGGGTCACCAGGTCAAAGTCACAGGGTCCTTGAATGGTAGTTTGATTTCAGCTCATTATCTTGAAAGCTTATTATCACAGTCTTCATATTTCATATAGTGATTGTCTTAACCAGGAGATGACCCGTATTGCTTATTGGGTCACTTCTATTTTCAAAGGTCAAGGTATCAGTGGCCTTAATGTCAGAATGGTTTTTGCTTATTATCTTGAACTCTATTCATCACAAAGTCTTTATATTTCACACACAGATTGGTCATAACTAGTAAGTGATCCCTATTGATTTTGGGGACTCTAGGTCAAAGGTCACAGGGTCCTTGAATATTAGTATGGTTTCCGCTCATTATTTTGAAAGCTATTTATCATAAAGTCTTCATATTACACATAGTGATTGGTCATAACTAGTAGATGACCCCTAATCATTTTGGGGTCACTAGTTCAAAGGTCAAGGTCACAGGGGCCTTAAATGTCAAGATGGTGTCTGCTCATTATCTTGAAAATTATTTATCACAAAGTCTCCATTATTTTTCTTTTTTTCATAACTGAACACTTCCATGTACCAGTCTTTGAAATTCGCACTCGCCCGATCGCCCTGGTGAGTAAATATTAAATTCGGGCGACTAAAAAATCCAATTTTGCTCGCCCGCCTGGCGATGTTCCGTTTTCCAATGTTGTCAAGTATCGTATATAGTAACCTTGAAAAATGATTTTCATGTACAGCAGGGAATAACAATAAAATAAATAAATCATGAGTTGACACAAGACTTGTTTTGGATTTCCTTTTGTTTATTTACCTTCAGCATTAAAGATAAGAATTTGAAAAATTTATTCGGGCGAGTAACTTCTCAAATGTTACTGTCCCGAATAGCCAGTAACTTCAAAATGTTAATTTCGAAGACTGATGTACCCATTTATGGTATGTTTCTATTACAAAATAACCAATAATGTGAGTCAAGTGTTAGAAAGGGGGGCATATATGTTGTTTCGACATTTCTTGTTCATACTAAATTTTTCACCTGAGTGGAGCATAACTCCGAAAGTCTTTGAGATGTCAACATGAAACTTCATAGGTGACTAGATCTTATTGCGCAAGAATGATAACTCTACCCTATATAATGTTAGAGTTATTGCACTTTGTTATTTTTTCTACTTTTTGTCTAAAGCATAGCTCAAAAAGCCTTTGAGATATCAACATGAAACATCATAGGTTGATAGATCTTTCTCGGGAGGTGTGCAGTGCACATAAGTGATAACTCTACTAATTTTTGAGTTATTGCCCTTTGTTATTTTTCATACTTAATTTTTATACACCCGTTTGAAAAATGGATCGTATCATAGATTCCGTCCTGGCGGGCGGGTGTGCAGGCGGGCGGCGTCCAATATTTGTCCTGAGCATATCTCCTACACCCATGGAGGAATTTTAATGAAACTTTATAGAAATGTTCATCACTATGAGAAGCTGTGTCATGCGCATGAATCAGGCCTCTAAGTCAAAGGTCAAGGTCATACTTAGTGGTCATTGAAAAACGCTTGTCCAGAGCAAAACTTCTACATGCATAGAGGGAATTCAATATAACTTAGCACAAATATTCACTATTGTGAGGCGGAGTGTTACACGAGAAATTTAGGTCCCTGCGGCTTAGGTCAAGGTCACATATAGAGCTCAAAGTTCAGATAAAAAAATCACTAGAGATGATAATATATCCAGATATTACCCAGAGCATATCTCCTATATGCATATCTATAATGCCCACATCACTCTCAAAAGCTTCTTTGACAGGCCTATATTGCGACAACATTGCCCTTGTATACCTGAGTGAGCATAACTCGAAAAGTCTTTGAGATGTCAACATGAAACTTCATAGGTGGATAGAAGAGGAATGTTGTGCGCAAGAATGATAACTCTACCCTTTATAATGTTTGAGTTATTGCCCTTTGTTATATTTCATACTTTTTGTCCAGAGCTTATCTCAAAAAGTGTAAGAGGTTTCAACTTTAAACTTCATAGGGGGATATAGATCTCATTGAGGAGGAGTGCAGCACACAAGAATGATAACCTACCCTGCATTATATTTAAGTTATTATTCCCCGCCGATAGATCGGGGGATATTGTTTTTGTCGTTGTCCGTCCGTCCATCCATCCGTCCGTCCGATTTTCGTTTCCGGGCTAGTTCTCTGCAACTACTGGCTGGAATTCAATGAAACTTTATGGGAATCATCAATATCAAGAGGAGATGCGCATATCGACGCCTTGTTCCAGTCAGACTTTTTAACTCAGAGTTATGGCCCTTGATTAGTTTTGCATTATGCATATAGAGCAAAAATAGTTTCTGCGCTACTTCTCAGCAACTACTGGCTGGAATTCAATGAAACTTTATTGGAACCTTTAATACCAAGAGGAGATGTGCATATCATCGCCTTGTTCAGATCAGACACTTTAACTGAGAGTTATGGCCCTTGATTAGTTTTGCATTATGCATATAGAGCAAAAATCGTTTCCGCTCTACTTCTCTGCAACTACTGGCTGGAATTCAATGAAACTTTATGGCAACCTTTAATACCAAGAGGAGATGCGAATATCCTCGCCTTGTTCTGGTCAGACCCTTTAACTCAGAGTAATGGCCCTTGATTAGTTATGCAGTTAGCATATAGAGCAATAATCATTTCCATGCTTCTTCTCTGCAACAACTTGCTGGAATTCAACGAAACTTTATAGGAACTGTCGGGAAGACGTACGCTATGTGTAGGCGGGAACAACAACAACGTATTGACGGCGGGAATCAAGATGACGACAACGTTTATACCAACGTCACTACAGCTTTACTTGTATATATTATTGAGATATTAAAAAGATAGAAACAAGACACAACGCGAAGCTTATATCTATACCCCACATTTTGGTGCCGTGACGAACTAGTGAGAAATTACAGACAAACATGGATCTTAATAAGCTGAAAAAAAAGAGAGCCGCTCAGAAAGCTGTTATTTCGAGACATTTGCAGAAGTTAGAAGATTCTACTGATGATTGCGTTCAGTTCCAGACGATATTTCATAATTTACAGTCTAAAGTTGCAGCACTTGAAGAGCTTAATGAGAACATTATTACTCTAACCGACGAGGATGATTTTGAAGTTGAGATGGTCGAAACAGAAGATTATATGTTAGATTTGAAGATTCGAATCCGAAACTTGGAAGCAGAACAGAGACAACCCTCCGGTAATTTTATACCACCGCCGCTGCTCAATCCCGTAGATCCCCCGCTAGATGAGCCGCCTATGAATAACAGTGCCAACATCGCATATCATTCCGAGAACACTTCCGGTAACACGACCAACAGTACTTCCGATGGACATGTAAGCGACATTTCTATACATAACGGACAGTATTCTCAATTTCACAAACTACCAAAAC